AGCAGCCGGCGTAGCCACACAGCTTGGCACGCCGCTGTGGCCGCTGCCACATACTCTGCCTCGCACGTGGACAGCGCCACCACCTTCTGTTTCAACGACAGCCATGAGATTGGAGCCGACCCGAGGAAAACAAGCACGCCATAGGTGCTCCGCCGTCCGTCGATGTCCCCCGCCATGTCTACATCGCTGAACACAGTGAATTACAGCCTACTTCCACCGGTCTTGGGGAAGGCGATCTCATGATCCACCGTCTCCTTGACATAACACAACACAACAGTCACTTCACCGCAGTCCAGTGATCCTCTCGGAGATCCTCCATGAAGCGACTGACGTAGCCCACGGCGAATGCAATGTCCAGCCTCGTGTGGACTAGGTAGCGTAGACCACCGACAATGCTCCGGTAGAGTGTTGCATCTACCTTCGCCGTAGTACTGGCCTTTGTCAGCTTCAGTCACTCCTCCATCGGAGTCACGCACGGCTTGCACTCAGCCATGCCGCTCCGCTCCAACAGCTTTGAGGCATACGCGCTTTGACCGAGAGTGAGCGCCTCCTTCCCCTATCTCACCTCGATGCCGAGGTAGCAGGAGAGCGCGCCAAGATCGCTCATTCGAAAATGAGCCATCATCTCACGATTGAAGCTGTTGATGTCCTCTGCACGCGCGCCGGTGACGATCAAGTCATCCACATACACGCCGACGACGAGCTCCTCCTTTCCCCATCGTCATGTTTAGAGCGCATGCTAGGTTGCGCACCGCGTGAACCCAAGCTCGTCCAGCGTGGCATCAAGCTTGGCGTTCCACGCTCGTGGGGCCTACCGTAGCCCGTAGAGCGCCTTACGCAGTCGGAGCACCATGTGCTCCGCTCCCTTGACGGTGAAACCCGAAGGTTGTCTCATGAAGACCGTCTCCGCCAGTTCACCATTGAGGAAGGCCGATTTTACGTCTAGGGGATGGACGCGCCAGTCCTTCGCTGCTGCCAAAGCCAGAAGCAGTCGGACAGACTCCATGCGCGCTATCGACACAAATACTTCCTCGAAGTCGATGCCCTCGCGCTGGATAAAGCCTCGAGCGACGAGGCGCGCCTTGTGCTTGACAATGGCACCACGTTCATTCTGCTTGACCTTGTACACCCACTTCAAACTGATCGGACAACACCCTAGAGGTGGATCAACGAGCTCCCAAGTCTCGTTTTCCTCGATCGCCTTCATCTCCTCCAGCATCGCCCGTCGCCAATTTGCATCGCGCTCGGCCAGCGTGAGCGTGGGTGGTTCCTCTGCACTGATGAGAAGCAGCTCTGTTTCATTGAGCAGCCGTCCCGCCAGGCCTGAGGGTCCTATGCCGCCGATGATGTCGTCCAGCCTACGGAACCACACCTCCTCACCTTCGTGGAAGGCATCTACGAACTCAGTGATGTCGCTTGGAGGTGAGGCGAACTCGATCGGTGTCGATGGAGTTCGATGTTCCGCCGGAGTGATCGGTACAACACCTGGAGTGCTCGGCACCCCGGCTGTAATGCTCGGCTCTACTCCTGGACCGCTCGTCACCACTACTGGAGTGGTCGGCACCACCGCAGGAGTGCTTAGGCCCAGTCTTGGAGTGGTCGGCACCACTGTAGGACATCTCTGGCTCCGCTACGGGAGCATTCGACACCCGTCCTGGAGTGGTTGACACCACTGCAGGACATCTCGGCACTACTCCAGGAGTGCTCGGCACCGCCCCAGGAGTGCTCGGCTCTGTTGCTGGAGTGGTCGGCACCTCCTCTTCTGCATCTCCACCACCGTGGATGACCAAGTGCTCGACGACGAAAGTACTGGTGAAGCCGCCAGCTCCCCCCATGTCCAGATTGTTCCAGTCCTAGGCCGCCTTCTCGTCAAACACGACATCGCGCGAGACAACCACCTTGCCTCCGTGTGGGTCGTAGAGCCAGTACGCCTCGATACCTTCCGTGTAGCCTAGGAGCACCATCGGTGTGCTCCTGTCCTCTAGCTTGGTGAGGACTGGCTTCGTCTTCCTGACGTGGCCGATGCAGCCGAATGTCCGGAGGAAGGACACACTCCGCTTGTGCCCATACCAAGCTTCGAATGGCATCTTGCCCTTCAGGGCCTTAGTGGGTGCACGGTTGAGGATGAACATCGCCGTGGTCACCGCCTCACCCCAGAACCTTGCCGACATGCCCTTGGCCTTCATCATGGATCGAGCCATGCCGACCACTGTCTGGTTTCGCCGCTCCACCACGCCATTCTGTTGTGGCGAGTACGGCGCGGTGTGGTGTCGCGCCACACCCTGATCCACACAGTACGCAGTGAATTCCACCGAAGTGAATTTACCGCTGCGACCAGTCCTCAGCACGCGCAGCTTCTTGGCGCTCTCCGCCTCCGCGCGCGCCTTGAATTTCTTGATCGCCACCGCTGCCTCGTCCTTGCTTGTCAGGAGTTGCAGCCACATGTAGCGACTGCAATCATCCATGAGCAGGAGGAAGTACCACCGACCACCGTTTGTGGCTGGCGTGATTGGCCCACAGAGATCGCCGTGGATGAGCTCGAGAGCGTCCACCGTGCGATACTTGGCCGCCTTTGGGAACGGCAGCCTCCTCTGCTTCCTGGCCAGGTAGCTGTCACACAACTCGCCTCCGTGCTTGATGTGGGGCAGCCCTCGGACCATCTTCTCCAGTCGACCGAGCGCATCGAAGCTGAGATTGCTGAACCGGGCATGCCACGGCCATGGCTCCTCGGTGTGCCATGCCACCAGACACACCGGCTGCTGCACCTCAGTCGGTTCCAGGACCTCTTCACCTTGGCAAGAGGGCGTTGCTCCCGGTCCCTGATCCTGAGGACACCGTCCTTGATCAGTACCTCGCTGCCGTGCTCATCTAGCTGGCCAATGCTGACGATGCTTGAACGTAGCTGCGGGATATAATATACATCCGTTAGCGCGCGGTGCTCGCCGTTCTAGCACCTAAAGATAATGGTGTCGTGCCCTTGGATCGCCACCCTTGAGCCATCACCGAACTTCACCGTGCCGGTCACGTCGTCGTCGAGCTCGGAGAAGGCTGCCTTGGGGCCCGTCATGTGGTTGCTGGCGCCAGAGTCCAGATACCACACGTCCGAGGTGGACTTGAGCGTGCGTTTCGTCGAGATAGACAACTTTCAGAGCCTTCTCAGGCCCTTTCACCGCCGTCACATCTCCCTTCTCCTTGGCCTCAACGTCGTGCAATGCACAGAACGTCGCCATCAGGAGAGTGGCCTCATCATCATCATCAGCCTGCGCCAGATGAGCCTCAGCCTTCTTCTCGCTTGCGATTTGGACACTCCTTTGCCCAATGGCCCGTCTTCCCGCAGCGTCGGTAGGCGTTGGGGTTGACCTTCTCCTTCTTCTTCTCTAAAGAAGCCTTGCCGTGGCGCTTGCCATCGCCACCGCGGCTGGAGAAGGCTAACCCAGAATTCCTTCGGGCAGCACACTCCTCTGTCAGCAGCAGCTTGTCGTTGTCATTCGATGTTGTGGCCTGCTCCATGCGCTCGTCCACCGCCCGCAGACGCCCCGTCACATCCTCAATGGTGAGGGTAGACAAGTCCACAATCGTCTCTATGGAGGGAGCAATCTGGATGTACTTCGCCGGCATGGAGTGGAGGTACTTGAAGACCGCCTCTTCTTCGTCGATGGTGACGCCGTGGCTCCTCAGCTTGCTGATGAACGTCTGCAGGCGGGGGGGGGGATCCTCTACCACCTTACCATCCTTGAACTTGAGGTTGGCGTACTCCTACTTCAGCAGCTGGGTCGTGGTCTTCTTTGCGTGGTCGGAACCGACGCGCATCGCCGCAATGGCCTTCCACGCTTCCTTAGCAGAGCTCTTCGCCCCCAACGGCTTCCTATACTCCGCTAGCACAGCAGCGAGGATAGCCTCCAACGCTGACATGTCGTCTTCTTCGTTGTCGGTGCCCTTGTCAACAGTATTCCAGAGCCGTCGGGCTCTGAGCTTGACCTTCATGGTCAGTGCCCATTCGCCATAGTTGGTGCGAGTCAGCGTCAGCCAACTGGTGCCGCTGACCTCCCGCACCGTAGGCATAACGACCTCCTGTCGTGGCTGGGCAGCCACAACAGCGCCGCTGTTGTCGCCCATCTCCAAACCGTCCATCATCGCCAACGGTTAGTCCGGCGACGGCGCTTGTATGGCTCCGATGTCACTTGTTAGCCCATAGATCTCCGACACGGGTGAGCCGATCACTCACCAGCGCTGCCGACCACACACTATAGCTAGAGGTAGAAGAAGGGAGGGAGAACAGAGCGCGCACACACACAGCACAAGCACCAGCGTTGGTTGGAGCTCTGCAGAGGAGATGGCAAAATTGACTCTCTCTCTTTATTGAGTTGCGGCGGCAAACTATATATACAACTTTACCCATCTAATCCTAGTATACATATATATGTCATTGTGTCATCCATGCACTGAGTGCAGATGATGTGATGCAGAGGCTGACTTCGACGCCTTTGCCCTGCTGCTGTGGCTCTGATGCGGCGGGAGAGCTTTCGGCGTCTGCCCTGCAGCGCTGCTACAAAGGCAACAAAGAGAGCCCTTTTCAACGTCTGCCCCCTACTGTGCATTCACACAGGGGCAGCAGATTACATAACATGCATTTGGGGAAACGGATTGTAGACGTGACCAGCACCATCCCGGTCTTTTGCGCCAAATTAAATCTGTGGTACAGTTCACATGACTTGTTCTTTAGGGCCGCCGTGCAAAGATTGGCATATATGGATAGCGCTAGTCCACTCTCGGTGATGCAAGGCATGACGCATCTGCGTCGATGCGTGCGCCTTCATATTCAGCCACAGGCTATATATATGCACCTCATAGCATGATCCACAAGGAGTGGCGCCGTTGCAAGCGACACGACCTCTGATACTGATACTGATACTGATAGTGAAGCTCAGAGCTCACGATCGCCCTGCGGCCGTTACCAGCATACCCAAGTGTCTTCAGCCAGTAGCCACCCTCCTCGATCCATGGCAGCGTCTCCTCAGCGGCCTCGTGTAATGATGCTGCCCTTCGCCGCGCAGGGCCACGTCATGCCCCTCATGGAGCTCTCCCACCGGCTCGTCGAGCACGGCTTCGAGGTCGTCTTCGTGAACACGGACTTCAACCATGCCCGCATCCTCACGGCCCTGGAAGGAGCGGCCCCTGCCGCCGGCGGGATCGACTGGATCTCCTTCCCGGACGGCATGGGCCCCGACGGCGACCGCACCGACATCGGCAAGGTGCTCGACGGCTTGCCGGCGGCGATGCTCGGCGGCCTCGAGGAGACGATCAGGTCCAGGAACATCAGGTGGGTGGTGGCCGACGTGTCCATGAGCTTCGTGCTGGAGCTAGTCCGCACGGTGGGCGTGCGTGTCGCCTTGTTCTCCACTTACTCCGCCGCCACCTTCGCGCTGAGAATGCACCTTCCCAAGATGATAGAGGATGGCATCATCGACGAGACCGGTAAGAGCAAAATCATGTTGTTATATATATAAGATCAGGACATGATGGTTCTACGTTCGCAGGGAATGTGAAAAGGAACGAGAGGATCCAGCTAAACCCCAAGATGCCGGCCATCGACGCCTCCAAGCTTCCGTGGACCAGCCTTGGCAAGAGCCCTGTGTCACGGAGAGCCATGATCCAGAGCACCATCACGACCAACCCGACACTAGCGCTCGCCGACACTATCATCTGCAACACTTTCCAGGAGATCGAATCCGTGGCGCTGGCCCACCTCCCCATACCGGCGGTAGCCATCGGCCCGCTGGAGGCGCCCAAGTCGGCGGCGGCCGGCCATTTCTGGCCCCAAGACGAGACCTGCCTCCGCTGGCTCGACGCACAGGCTCCCGGCTCAGTCGTCTACGTGGCGTTCGGGAGCCTCACGGTGTTCGACGCGGAACAGCTCCAGGAGCTGGCCGACGGCCTGGAGCTCACCGGGCGGCCGTTCCTGTGGGTGGTCCGGCCGAACTTCGCCGATGGTGTCGGCAAGGGCTGGCTGGACGGGTTCCGGCGCCGCGTCTTTGGTAAAGGGCTCGTCGTCAGCTGGGCTCCCCAGCAGCGCGTGCTCTCGCACCCCTCGGTAGCCTGCTTCGTGACGCACTGCGGGTGGAACTCGACCATGGAAGCGGTGCGGCACGGCGTCCCGTTGCTCTGCTGGCCCTACTTCGCCGACCAGTTCTTGAACCAAAGCTACATCTGCGACCTGTGGGGCGTTGGGTTGAAGGCGTGCGCCGACGGGTTGGACATTGTCACCAAGGAGGAGATCAGGAACAAGGTGGAGCGGCTGCTTGGGGACGAGGGGATCAAGGCGAGGACGCTGTCGTTGAAGAGCGCGGCGTGCGCCAGCGTCGCGGATGGAGGGTCCTCGCATCAGGATTTGATCAAGTTAGTGAATCTGCTAAGAGAAAATTAGTCTTCATGTCAGAAATGTTTCAGAGTTCAGAGGTTAGGTGGTTATATATTCATCTGTCGCAAAACCGTTAGAAAAATAAAACTTTATGTGCAAACATGTTAGGAGGACCATGTCTCGTCGCATTGTTTTAGGCAACAATAAAGGATTCTTCACATTTCGAACTGTATCACTAGAGAGCGAGTGCAATCCACAATATATGGAGCAATGGACCATGTCCTGAAAGCGACAACGGATAGCATCTCTTAATCTGGCAAAGTGCCATGACGAGTTCCAGACAAGAAACCAATCGCTAGATTGATGTACGAATGGCCGAATGCTGAATGCCTGCCATTTATACCAACCAAGCAAACACTACACAGTACAGTGCTAACGTTAGAATGTACTATGGAACACATGGTCTTACATTTGGAACTCATCCACCGATCCACGTTCTCTGTGACTAAGGCTTGTAAGCACCTTAGTGGACAGATTTGGGCATGGAAAAGCTGATGTCAAAACAAGCATAAGGTGTTTTGCTGGCTACTGTTAAGGAACAGGCTGAGTACCAGAGAACTTCTCAGGAAGAAAAACATGGAATTAGAAGATTACAGCTGTGTTCTGTGTGACAGCTCTTCAGATGAAACTCTAGTCCACCTTCTCTTTCTCCTAAAAAATCAGCTCCAAGTTCCTTTCTTCACGTAGATAATAATCCTAGTGTGTTGGACAATCTCGAAGTCAAGGAATGGTCTGATCTTCAACCGAGCCCAGCCATCTCTAGCTTCTGCCGAAAGGCTTTTCAAGTCAGAATTTGCGCTTCTCTTACTGCACGCAAAACGCAGTTACTTCCCCATCATAGATCAATGGTTAAACCTCCTTGATTAATCTTTTTAGTTAGTCTCATTTTCTTCCTCACCTTTTTTGTTTCTTAATTTTCTCCCACCGCTCTTGTACTTCTGTTGTACTCCTATTGATTTTTTTCTAATAAATTCAGTAGGGGCAAGCCTCTCCTGTTTTCGTAAAAAAAAAAGAATATACTCCCTCTGTCCTTATTTATGTGCCGTTAGGTGTCTAGATTCAAAGCATCTCCTATGTATCTAGATATCATGTCTAAATTCATAGAATCTTTCATGTATGTATTAGAAGGCCAAGACGACAGATAAACCAAGACGGACGGAGTACTAGTACTAGAAATGCAATTTGTTCATATATAAAAGCATTTGGCAACTTCCATATTGAGTATGGTAAAGCTAATATCGACACAAAAGAGGATATAACACTCGAATTCGGCCGTGAGATTCATGCCTGACTGTCTTCTTCAATTTCAGGGAGGGTATAGGAAAGAGAATATTACCACTGGTCCCCCTGCTTGTACAAAATCGTGTCCCAGGGAAATGGATACAATACAGTTGGCCTGGTTAATTTGGTGGCAGAACTTGGCTGTCACAAAGTTGTGCATGTTCGTCTGTATCTATACTCAAGTAGTAGTATAGAAATTTTGGTTGCCTCCACAAATAGACACGAGACAACTCGACAATCGACATGGCTGGAAATTCATCGATATGAACCATTTGTCAAAATGAGAAACCGATAGGCAAGCAGACGAGCACCAATGGATCCTTGCTGATGTGAGATCTGATGCAGTCAGACGAGCGCCCATGGATTCTTGCAGATGTCTGACGCGGCTGCACCGGGCGGACAGCCATAAGCATGCACCTCTATCTCTCTCTTTATTATCGATATCCACAGGAGCAGCAAGCAGCCAACAGCAGACTCTGACCTCTGGGGCTCTGACAGTATACCACACCAGCGCGGCAGCCCACACACTAGTTCGGAGCCTCCATGGCCATGGCCGCGGCTCCTCCTCCTCCCCGGCCTCGTGTCATGGTGCTGCCCTTCCCTGCCCAGGGTCATATCATGCCGCTCATGGAGCTGTCCCACCGCCTCGTCGACCATGGCTTCGAGGTCGACTTCGTGAACACGGACTTCAACCACGCCCGCATCCTCACGGCCTTGGCGGCAGGAGGAGAGACCGGGGCGGCTGTCCATGCCGGGATCCACTTGGTCTCTTTCCCAGACGGCATGGGCCCCGACGGCGATCGCGCAGACATCGTTCAGCTGGCTCAGGGCTTGCCGGCGGCGATGCTCTGCCGCGTTGAAGAGCTGGTCAGAGCTCAGAAGACTCGGTGGGTGGTGGCTGATGTCTCCATGAGCTGGGTGCTGGGCCTGGCCGGCACGGTGGGTGTGCGCGTGGCCTTGTTTGCGACCTTCTCGGCCGCCACCTTCGCGGTAAGGATGCGTATTCCCAAGTTGGTAGAGGATGGCATCATTGACGAAAATGGTAAGAGCAAATCAAACCCGATTTCTGTGTCATCTGTACTCTCCAGATCAGAATTCATGCTGGACATGGTGTTTCCGTGCGCAGCGAATGTGAAGAGGAATGAAAGGATCAAGCTGAGCCCCAACACACCAGCCATCGACGCCACCGACATCCCCTGGGTTAGGCTTCGAAGCCCCATGATAAAGGGCATGATCAAGACCAACCAAACGTTCGTGCTCGCTGACACCATTGTCTGCAACACGTTCCATGCTATCGAGTCCGAGGTGCTGGCGCTCCTCCCCAAGGCGGCACTAGCCGTCGGCCCCCTTGAGGTGCCATCGTCGACTTCAGCCAACCAGCTCTGGCCCGAAGAACCGGCCTGCCTGGCCTGGCTCGACGGCCAGGCCCCTGGGTCAGTTGTCTATGTGGCATTCGGCAGCTTTACAGTCTTCGACACTGCGAGGCTCCAGGAGCTCGCCGATGGGCTGGCGCTCACCGGACGCCCGTTTCTGTGGGTGGTCCGGCCGAACTTTGCCAACGGCGGCGATGAAGGCTGGCTAGACCAGTTCAGACGCCGCGTTGGAGACAAGGGCCTAGTCGTCGGCTGGGCTCCCCAGCAGCGCGTCCTCTCGCACCCTTCGGTGGCATGCTTCATCTCCCACTGTGGATGGAACTCGACCATGGAAGGGGTGCGTCACGGCGTCCCGTTCTTGTGTTGGCCATACTTTGCCGACCAGTTCATGAACCAGAACTACATCTGCGACGCGTGGGGCACGGGCTTGAGGATCTGTGCCGACGAGCGGGGCATCTTCACCAAGGAGAAGATCAGGGACATGGTCGACCAGCTGCTCGGTGATGATGGGATCAGAGCGAGGGCACTGTCTTTGAAGAGAGCAGCGTGCGAGAGTATCGCAGATGGAGGGTCCTCGCATCAGGATCTGCTCAAGTTTGTAAACCTGCTGAGAGAACAATAATCTTTAGCTTGTCAGATTTTTTTTAGTCATTCAAAGGTCATTTGGTTAGATAATCTGCAGAGTCGCATTCAAAGTTGGATAGACAGACATGGAGAAAAAGATCAGACGTCGGTGTTACTAGCAAATGCATTGTCACCTCATGGGCCACATACTGATGAAAGTGACACCTATATCTTAAGAAATTGCCTTTTGTATATATCAATCTGGAAAGTTTTTAAAACAATCTCTAGGTGTGCAAAGTGCCTATGGAAGTTGCAAAGTATAACGGATTACTAAATTAAGCAGAGGAATGCTGAATGCCTGCCGCCGAGCCACCAAAACTGAGCCAGCAGAGCGCTACAACTAGAAGTCGACCTTGGCAAATGTTCACCAGACTACCAGGAATGTTCATGATTCAGAGTCACTATCTCAAATAACTAATTATTATATTAGGTAAGGAATTACACAGCCGGATAGATGCAGGCTTACCTAAAATAATGGAGATGTTCCATGAGACCAGGCCATGGCATTGAAGTTATTTCCAAGACACAGTCTGACTGTTACTATTTCAGCAGAGTATGCAAATCAGCGTGACCTTTCTGCACAAGTAGATGAACACTAAACATCAAAACAAGAAAAAGTTTCCGAACCGAATGTAATAGGTTAACCATGATCGTGATTACCTTTTGGACATAATGGCGTTTCAGACATATGCTGGTTTGAACTTTGAAGTTATAGCCAATATCCAAGAAATAGCTGTTCTAAAAAATTCTTATTTTTCAGATGTTGTCATGTCATCACCTTAGTTGGTGAAATTCCAAGGGAGAATTGTAATTTCCTTTATATGGAGGGCCAATATCTTTTTATGCATATAATGGATAGGGACAACCAAAACTAGTAGAAGAGTTCAGCAGCAGGCATCTCAGCCACGTGCATATAAGCGAATATATGGCGGTTATTTTGCTTGCCCAGCAAGATAGACAAAAACAAAGTGGTCAACTGTGGACTGAATGATTGTGAAGATAACCTTTTCTTCGGAAAAAGATAGACCTATATTCAGCAGGCTACAAATTTGCTGATATATGGTCTGATGTAACAACGATGATTTTGGCACCCTTTATATGCACACCGATGGACCAATCTGGTTATACCCACCCACACCACAAACTGTTTGTAGCCACAACAGAAACAAGCTTCATGGTTTTGCTGCTCCTAAACCTCATGTCATGGTGCTACCCTTCCCTGCACATGGTCATGTCATTCCACTCATGGAGTTGTCCGGCTAGTTGACTACGGATTCAAGATTGACTTCATAAACACCGAGTTCAACCACGATCGTATCTTCAAGTCCATGCAAAACAAAGGAGCAATCCCTGAGGGTTTACATGCTCTCAATTCCAGATGGTATGGACCCTGATGATGATCACACAGACATTGGCAAGATGGTCGGGGGCTTATCGGCTGCCATTCTCAGCCCCCCTTGAGGAGATGATCAGAAGCAAGAAGATAAAATGGGTGATAGCAGATGTGTCTATGAGCTGGGCGCTAGAACTGACCAACACAGTGGGAGTATGTATTGCTTTGTTCTCAACTTACTCAGCATCTGTGATTGCACTAAGGATAAAACTGCCCAAACTGATCGAGGATGGTGTTATTGATGAAAGCGGTAAGAAAGAATCAAATCATCTTTAGCATAAATTATTCCATACTGTCATGTTCCTCTTTAAATCCTATGTCTTAGTGACCAATGCAAGACCATTGAATTTAATGCAGGGAATGTGATAGTGCGGGCCTGGTGCAAGCGGTAGAGTCTTACCGCTTGTGACCGGAAGGTCCCGGGTTCGAGTCGCGGTCTCCTCGCATTGCACAGGCGAGGGTAAGGCTTGCCACTGACACCCTTCCCCAAACCCCGCACAGAGCGGGAGCTCTCTGCACTGGGTACGCCAATGTGAAAGTGCATGAGATGATCCAACTGACGCCACCATTGATTCAACTGAGATCCCCTGGGTAAGCCTGGGCAGCACCCCAGAAAGACGCAGAGTGAACATACAGAAGGTCATTAGGACTAACCGATTGATAGCGCTTGCTGAGGTCATCAACACATTCAGAGAAGTAGAACCTGAAGCGTTGTCTCTCCTCCCCAATGCATTACCCGTAGGTCCACTGGTAGTGCCGATGTCAAAGCCCACTGGTCATTTTTTGTCTAAAGACGTAACCTGCCTCACTTGGCTTGACACGCAAGCCCCAGGCTCTGTCATATACGTGGCATTTGGGAGCTCTACTGTCTTTGACGCGACAAGATTCCATGAACTCGCCAATGGACTTGTGTTATCTGGCTGGCCGTTCATATGGGTGGTTCGGCCAAACTTCACCAAAGAAATCGATGAGGATTGGTTCAACCAGTTCAAGCAAAGTGTCAATGGGAAGGGACTCATCGTTACTTGGGCTCCCCAGCAAAGGGTACTGTCACACCCTTCAGTCGCTTGCTTCATGACACACTGTGGGTGGAACTCAACGATGGAAGCTGTGCTGCATGGTGTCCCATTCTTGTCCTAATTTGCCGACCAGTTCTGCAACCAGAGCTACGCGTGCAATGTGTGGAAAACAGGCCTGAAGCTTTGTTCCAATGAGCAAGGGATCGTCACAAGGGAGGAGATCAAGGAAAGGGTGTGCAGCTGCTGAGAGATGAGGATATCAAGGCGAGGGCAGTTATGTGGAAGAACATGGCATATGCAAGCATCAGAGAGGGAGGATCCTCTCATGCAAACTTGATCAGGCTTGTGAATTTGCTACGAGAAGGATGATGTTCCAGAATTTATACTCAGTTGCCACATACAGTTTAGTGCAATATTGCAGAGTATGGTTCTGTGATTAATCGTTTGCTATGTTATGTCAGTATCAGTATATCTATATATGTGTAACCCATCAAGCCCTTCTTTCAATAATTTGGAGGGAACCAGTCCAGTCCAATAAAATGCATTCATCCTGTGCATGCTATTGTATAGAAATTCCACAGTTTGTGGAGTTGTTGATATGTTCAATTAACACGGTAATAGCAATCGTAAAAAAAAAATGACACAGAATGAACACCATGACAGGCATTGGGACATCAGGGTCATAAAGAATTCGTACAGTAAGATGCTAGTTACTGGAAGATTGTTTTTCTCCCAGAACGGGTTCGTCCCAAATTTCATTACCGAAGCAGCGAACTTACAAAATTGAACCAAGTTACCAAGTGCATTTGAACCAATAAAACAACTAGGAGTATTACAAACTACAAAGACCGCAACACACAGGGTTGCTCGACAAAGTTCACCGAAACTAGTTACTGAAAAAACAACTTGGTAAACTTCCATGTTCACGTCAAATCTCGAGATTAGTAATGCCGCAGCGCATGCTAGAGCCGTAGAGCGTACCTGTCTGCTCGCTGCCGGTGAACGAGAGGTGTTAGATGGAAAATGCCGAACCCCGATGACAGACACAGACAGGGGGCAGCGCCATCCCACACAGGTCACGGGTGACGAGATCCTTACCGTTCCGGCCACCGGCGTGCGGTCCGCGGCGGCGGCGGCGTGCTGACTCCATACTGTCTCGACTGCATCGGTGGTACACCGGCGCCGCTCCGCCGCACCCGCACCCCAAGTTGGACTCGGACCGTCGAGCGGGGATGGTTCGGTATCGGTTCGGCCCAGGGTATGAGAAGGAAGTTTGGGCCAGGTTGAGCTTCTATTAGATTTGGGGCTCTGTGCGGCCTGGTCAATGGTCATTTCTCGGTCAAATCAAATCATTGACGACGCTCCAATGAAAAGATGAAGCAGTCTGATGATCCCGCACATACTTCACGGACTCACGGAGCTTTGGAGGATGTCTCTGATGTTTGTTCTTCGATTTGAGACACTCGGCACTAACCAATTCCATTCGTGCTTAATCCCACCGAATCGAACAACTTGCTCTTTTAAGAAGAATCGCTGGATTGGATCTATCCGGCGAACAGCAAGCAGTTCTCGATCCCACTACCCGTCCACCAGCACCGCATCCTGTACGTGCAAAACTCCAGCGCCATGCATGTGGCGGCGACCGCGGCGGAGCCATGGCTCCCGCCGGCACCGTCGGTCGGCCAGTTGGTGGCAACCCAGCCCAATGGGCGGACGGGGCAGAATGGCAGATGCGGTCGATCGGCACGACTAAAGAATTGGAAAGACGCGTCGAGCCAACACCCCCGATCGGCGGCCAGCCCGGCGCCGGCGAAGCGCGCGCGCTCTTTGGTTGGTTCCGTGCTTGCTCCTCCTGCCCGGCTCGATTCCCCGTGTACGCAGGCTCGCATCGTGAGGTCCATCCAGCTCACCCGGCGTCGCGAGGCTACACGCCACGGAGGGCGCTCTCGTCGCCGTCGCCATTGCGCTCCCGTCAAAGGGTTCGGCCGTCGCGGACGTGACGTGATCGTGGTTTGGAGTTTTCAGGACGTGCCGATCGATGCGGTATAGTGCCGTGCCCGGATCGCCGGATCGGAGCCGCGGCTGCTGCGAGGCAGCTTCCGACGGTCAGCCTGCTCCAGCGTCAACCCGTGCGCTAGTTGCTGGCCCTGGGCTCTGAGGCTGCTGCTCAGTTCCTTTGCTTCTCATCTCAGCACATGCACAAAAACACGTTCGTTCAAATCAAGGCACGTACTACTACTGCTGTTCGTATTCACCTCATCTAATCATGCTGTGCACGTAGGTACACATGCTCGCCTAACTTTGTCGTTGCGACTTGCGAGGTCTGGTGCCCCGTGCCCGACAATTAGGCCCCGTTTAGATGCAACCCAAAAACTAAAATTTTTCAAGATTCTTCCTCACATCGAATTTTACGGTACATGCATGGAGTACTAAATATAGACGAAAAAAAAATTAATTATACAGTTAGCCGAGAAATCGTGAGACGAATCTTTTAAGTCTAAATAGTCCATAATTGGACAATTTTTGCTAAATACAAACGAAAGTGCTACAGTAGCCAAAAGCCAAAAAAAAATAGAACTAAACGGGGCCTTACTTGTCTCACGAGTAACTGTAGAAACAGCCGAAGCCAACAGCAATGGCAGCCGATCATCAGCCCTGTTCGCTGGGTTGTATTTGATTTATAAGTCATGCCTTATTAGTCAACGAACAGCACCAAATCAGCTAACAGTACTTTCAGTCATGAACTCATGGTTTATAAGCCAAACAAACTCAAACAAATACGGCGTAGATATTCAGGGCCTGTTCGGCAGGACTAAAAATACTGTTCCAGCTGATTGTTGTGCGAGAAAAATACTGTTCTGGCAGAACGTGAACAATGATTCTGTGAGATAGCTGGCCAGCCGACAACCAGCCAGCCAGCCGAACACGCCCTCAGCAGCATGTTCATTTCGGCTGGATTGACTTATAAGTTATGGATAGAAAGTATTACTGGTTAATTTATGTGAGAAAAAAATACTATTAACTCCTGATAAGAAAGATACAGACAGGCTGCAGGTCTGTGCGTTTGCATGCAGCGAAGAGGAGATGGCAGCATGCGTCCCGAGCACACCGCAGAGCCATCAATTGACCAGACCTACACGGCCACACCAAATTGATGACAGCTCGACACTACAGGGCGATGTTGCGTTTTCGAATATGCTTGGCTGTGTTTAGTTCCGGAAATTTAAGAATTTGTTACGGTAGCATTTTCGTTTTTATTATTTAGTAATTAGTGTTCAATTATGAACTAATTAGATTTGAAACGTTCGTCTTACAATTTCTAATTAAACTGTGTAATTAGTTTTTTTTTCGTCTACATTTAATACTCCATGTACGTATCGTAGGATTCAATGTAATGACTACCGTAGCAATTTTTAGAAAAGTTTTTGAACTAAACAAGCACAAGATCATTCCGAGTGCTAGAAAACATATAAAACACCCTAGCGCTATTTAGCTTTTCTGTATCACAGGAGCAGCAAGCAGCCAACATCAGACTCTGAGCTCTGACCACTGACAAGTATACCACACCAGCGCGGCTGATAGAAATAAAAAAAAGGCAAAAAAAATTGTGAGCCCCACGGCAAGGCAAGAGTGGGTCTTGGTAAGTAGAGAGAGTTACAGGGACCCGTGCGAGCTAGGCGAGAAACTCGTCCCTAGCTATTCAATTTTTCATGTTCTCTTTCCTCCACGTAATTAAATAGCTAGCAAAAAAGTTCCTTGTTGGGACGCCCTAACAGCGTCCATGGCCATGGCCATGGCCGCGGATGCTCCCCGGCCTCGTATCATGGTGCTGCCCTTCCCTGCCCAGGGTCATATCCTGCCGCTCATGGAGCTGTCCCACCGCCTCGTCGACCATGGCTTCGAGGTTGACTTCGTGAACACGGACTTCAACCACGCCCGCATCCTCACGGCCTTGGCGGCAGGAGGAGACACCGGAGCAGCTGTCCATGCCGGGATCCACTTGGCCACTTTCCCGGACGGCATGGGCCCCGACGGCGACCGCACAGACATCGTTCAGCTGGCTCAGGGCTTACCGGCGGCGATGCTCGGCCGCCTTGAAGAGCTGGTCAGAGCTCAGAAGACTCGGTGGGTGGTGGCTGATGTCTCCATGAGCTGGGCGCTGGACCTGGCCGGCACGGCGGGCGTGCGCGTCGCCTTGTTCTCGACCTTCTCGGCTGCCATCTTCGTGCTGAGGATGCGTGTTCCCAAGATGGTAGAGGATGGCATCATTGACGAAAGTGGTAAGAGCAAACCAAACCCGATTTCTTTGTCATCTGTACTCTTCAGATCAGAATATATTCATGCTGGACAAGGTGCTTCCGTGTGCAGCGGTTGTGAAGAGGAATGAGAGGATCAAGCTGAGCCCCAACACGCCAGCCATCGACGCCGCCGACCTCCACTGGGTTAGGTTTGTAAACAGCAACGAGACACGAAGATTCATGATAAATGGCATAGCCAAGAGCAACCCAACATTCGCGCTCGCTGACACCATTGTCTGCAACACGTTCCATGCTATCGAGTCCGAGGCGCTGGCCCTCCCCAAGGCGGCATTAGCCATCGGCCCCCTCGAGGCGCCGACGTCGAACTCAGCCAGCCAGCTCTGGCCCGAAGACACGGCCTGCCTCGCCTGGCTCGACGCCCAGGCCGCCGGATCAGTTGTCTATGTGGCATTCGGTAGCTTTACAGTCTTCGACACTGCAAGGCTCCAGGAGCTCGCCGACGGGCTGGCGCTCACCAAACGCCCGTTTCTGTGGGTGGTCCGGCCGAACTTTGCCAACGGCGTCGATGAAGGCTGGCTGGACCAGTTCAGACGCCGCGTTGGAGACAAGGGGCTAGTCGTCGGCTGGGCTCCCCAGCAGCGCGTGCTCTCGCACCCTTCGGTGGTATGCTTCATCTCCCACTGTGGATGGAACTCGACCATGCAAGGGGTGCGTCACGGCGTCCCGTGTCTGTGTTGGCCATACTTTGCCGACCACTTCATGAACCAGAACTACATTACTACATCTGCGACACGTGGGGCACGGGCTTGAGGATCTGTGCCGACGAGCGGGGCATCTTCACCAAGGAGGAGATCAGGGACATTGTCGACCAGCTGCTCGGTGATGATGGGATCAGAGCGAGGGCACTGTCTTTGAAGAGAGCAGCGTGCGAGAGTATCGCAGATGGAGGGTCCTCGCATCAGTATCTGCTCAAGTTTGTGAACCTGCTGAGAGAACAATAATCTTTAGCTTGTCAGATTTTTTTTAGTCATTCAAAGGTCATTTGGTTAGATAATCTGCAGAGTCGCATTCAAAGTTGGATAGACAGACATGGAGAAAAAGATCAGACGTCGGTGTTACTAGCAAATGCATTGTCACCTCATGGGCCACATACTGATGAAAGTGACACCTATATCTTAAGAAATTGCCTTTTGTATATATCAATCTGGAAAGTTTTAAAACAATCTCTAGGTGTGCAAAGTGCCTATGGAAGTTGCAAAGTATAACGGATTACTAAATTAAGCAGAGGAATGCTGAATGCCTGCCGCCGAGCCACCAAAACTGAGCCAGCAGAGCGCTACAACTAGAAGTCGACCTTGGCAAATGTTCACCAGACTACCAGGAATGTTCATGATTCAGAGTCACTATCTCAAATAACTAATTATTATATTAGGTAAGGAATTACACAGCCGGATAGATGCAGGCTTACCTAAAATAATGGAGATGTTCCATGAGACCAGGCCATGGCATTGAAGTTATTTCCAAGACACAGTCTGACTGTTACTATTTCAGCAGAGTATGCAAATCAGCGTGACCTTTCTGCACAAGTAGATGAACACTAAACATCAAAACAAGAAAAAGTTTCCGAACCGAATGTAATAGGTTAACCATGATCGTGATTACCTTTTGGACATAATGGCGTTTCAGACATATGCTGGTTTGAACTTTGAAGTTATAGCCAATATCCAAGAAATAGCTGTTCTAAAAAAATTCTTATTTTTCAGATGTTGTCATGTCATCACCTTAGTTGGTGAAATTCCAAGGGAGAATTGTAATTTCCTTTATATGGAGGGCCAATATCTTTTTATGCATATAATGGATAGGGACAACCAAAACTAGTAGAAGAGTTCAGCAGCAGGCATCTCAGCCACGTGCATATAAGCGAATATATGGCGGTTATTTTGCTTGCCCAGCAAGATAGACAAAAACAAAGTGGTCAACTGTGGACTGAATGATTGTGAAGATAACCTTTTCTTCGGAAAAAGATAGACCTATATTCAGCAGGCTACAAATTTGCTGATATATGGTCTGATGTAACAACGATGATTTTGGCACCCTTTATATGCACACCCGATGGACCAATCTGGTTATACCCACCCACACCACAAACTGTTTGTAGCCACAACAGAAACAAGCTTCATGGTTTTTGCTGCTCCTAAACCTCATGTCATGGTGCTACCCTTCCCTGCACATGGTCATGTCATTCCACTCATGGAGTTGTCCGGCTAGTTGACTACGGATTCAAGATTGACTTCATAAACACCGAGTTCAACCACGATCGTATCTTCAAGTCCATGCAAAACAAAGGAGCAATCCCTGAGGGTTTACACATGCTCTCAATTCCAGATGGTATGGACCCTGATGATGATCACACAGACATTGGCAAGATGGTCGGGGGCTTATCGGCTGCCATTCTCAGCCCCCTTGAGGAGATGATCAGAAGCAAGAAGATAAAATGGGTGATAGCAGATGTGTCTATGAGCTGGGCGCTAGAACTGACCAACACAGTGGGAGTATGTATTGCTTTGTTCTCAACTTACTCAGCATCTGTGATTGCACTAAGGATAAAACTGCCCAAACTGATCGAGGATGGTGTTATTGATGAAAGCGGTAAGAAAGAATCAAATCATCTTTAGCATAAATTATTCCATACTGTCATGTTCCTCTTTAAATCCTATGTCTTAGTGACCAATGCAAGACCATTGAATTTAATGCAGGGAATGTGATAGTGCGGGCCTGGTGCAAGCGGTAGAGTCTTACCGCTTGTGACCGGAAGGTCCCGGGTTCGAGTCGCGGTCTCCTCGCATTGCACAGGCGAGGGTAAGGCTTGCCACTGACACCCTTCCCCAAACCCCGCACAGAGCGGGAGCTCTCTGCACTGGGTACGCCAATGTGAAAGTGCATGAGATGATCCAACTGACGCCACCATTGATTCAACTGAGATCCCCTGGGTAAGCCTGGGCAGCACCCCAGAAAGACGCAGAGTGAACATACAGAAGGTCATTAGGACTAACCGATTGATAGCGCTTGCTGAGGTCATCAACACATTCAGAGAAGTAGAACCTGAAGCGTTGTCTCTCCTCCCCAATGCATTACCCGTAGGTCCACTGGTAGTGCCGATGTCAAAGCCCACTGGTCATTTTTTGTCTAAAGACGTAACCTGCCTCACTTGGCTTGACACGCAAGCCCCAGGCTCTGTCATATACGTGGCATTTGGGAGCTCTACTGTCTTTGACGCGACAAGATTCCATGAACTCGCCAATGGACTTGTGTTATCTGGCTGGCCGTTCATATGGGTGGTTCGGCCAAACTTCACCAAAGAAATCGATGAGGATTGGTTCAACCAGTTCAAGCAAAGTGTCAATGGGAAGGGACTCATCGTTACTTGGGCTCCCCAGCAAAGGGTACTGTCACACCCTTCAGTCGCTTGCTTCATGACACACTGTGGGTGGAACTCAACGATGGAAGCTGTGCTGCATGGTGTCCCATTCTTGTCCTAATTTGCCGACCAGTTCTGCAACCAGAGCTACGCGTGCAATGTGTGGAAAACAGGCCTGAAGCTTTGTTCCAATGAGCAAGGGATCGTCACAAGGGAGGAGATCAAGGAAAAGGTTGTGCAGCTGCTGAGAGATGAGGATATCAAGGCGAGGGCAGTTATGTGGAAGAACATGGCATATGCAAGCATCAGAGAGGGAGGATCCTCTCATGCAAACTTGATCAGGCTTGTGAATTTGCTACGAGAAGGATGATGTTCCAGAATTTATACTCAGTTGCCACATACAGTTTAGTGCAATATTGCAGAGTATGGTTCTGTGATTAATCGTTTGCTATGTTATGTCAGTATCAGTATATCTATATATGTGTAACCCATCAAGCCCTTCTTTCAATAATTTGGAGGGAACCAGTCCAGTCCAATAAAATGCATTCATCCTGTGCATGCTATTGTATAGAAATTCCACAGTTTGTGGAGTTGTTGATATGTTCAATTAACACGGTAATAGCAATTCGTAAAAAAAATGACACAGAATGAACACCATGACAGGCATTGGGACATCAGGGTCATAAAGAATTCGTACAGTAAGATGCTAGTTACTGGAAGATTGTTTTTCTCCCAGAACGGGTTCGTCCCAAATTTCATTACCGAAGCAGCGAACTTACAAAATTGAACCAAGTTACCAAGTGCATTTGAACCAATAAAACAACTAGGAGTATTACAAACTACAAAGACCGCAACACACAGGGTTGCTCGACAAAGTTCACCGAAACTAGTTACTGAAAAAACAACTTGGTAAACTTCCATGTTCACGTCAAATCTCGAGATTAGTAATGCCGCAGCGCATGCTAGAGCCGTAGAGCGTACCTGTCTGCTCGCTGCCGGTGAACGAGAGGTGTTAGATGGAAAATGCCGAACCCCGATGACAGACACAGACAGGGGGCAGCGCCATCCCACACAGGTCACGGGTGACGAGATCCTTACCGTTCCGGCCACCGGCGTGCGGTCCGCGGCGGCGGCGGCGTGCTGACTCCATACTGTCTCGACTGCATCGGTGGTACACCGGCGCCGCTCCGCCGCACCCGCACCCCAAGTTGGACTCGGACCGTCGAGCGGGGATGGTTCGGTATCGGTTCGGCCCAGGGTATGAGAAGGAAGTTTGGGCCAGGTTGAGCTTCTATTAGATTTGGGGCTCTGTGCGGCCTGGTCAATGGTCATTTCTCGGTCAAATCAAATCATTGACGACGCTCCAATGAAAAGATGAAGCAGTCTGATGATCCCGCACATACTTCACGGACTCACGGAGCTTTGGAGGATGTCTCTGATGTTTGTTCTTCGATTTGAGACACTCGGCACTAACCAATTCCATTCGTGCTTAATCCCACCGAATCGAACAACTTGCTCTTTTAAGAAGAATCGCTGGATTGGATCTATCCGGCGAACAGCAAGCAGTTCTCGATCCCACTACCCGTCCACCAGCACCGCATCCTGTACGTGCAAAACTCCAGCGCCATGCATGTGGCGGCGACCGCGGCGGAGCCATGGCTCCCGCCGGCACCGTCGGTCGGCCAGTTGGTGGCAACCCAGCCCAATGGGCGGACGGGGCAGAATGGCAGATGCGGTCGATCGGCACGACTAAAGAATTGGAAAGACGCGTCGAGCCAACACCCCGATCGGCGGCCAGCCCGGCGCCGGCGAAGCGCGCGCGCTCTTTGGTTGGTTCCGTGCTTGCTCCTCCTGCCCGGCTCGATTCCCCGTGTACGCAGGCTCGCATCGTGAGGTCCATCCAGCTCACCCGGCGTCGCGAGGCTACACGCCACGGAGGGCGCTCTCGTCGCCGTCGCCATTGCGCTCCCGTCAAAGGGTTCGGCCGTCGCGGACGTGACGTGATCGTGGTTTGGAGTTTTCAGGACGTGCCGATCGATGCGGTATAGTGCCGTGCCCGGATCGCCGGATCGGAGCCGCGGCTGCTGCGAGGCAGCTTCCGACGGTCAGCCTGCTCCAGCGTCAACCCGTGCGCTAGTTGCTGGCCCTGGGCTCTGAGGCTGCTGCTCAGTTCCTTTGCTTCTCATCTCAGCACATGCACAAAAACACGTTCGTTCAAATCAAGGCACGTACTACTACTGCTGTTCGTATTCACCTCATCTAATCATGCTGTGCACGTAGGTACACATGCTCGCCTAACTTTGTCGTTGCGACTTGCGAGGTCTGGTGCCCCGTGCCCGACAATTAGGCCCCGTTTAGATGCAACCCAAAAACTAAAATTTTTCAAGATTCTTCCTCACATCGAATTTTACGGTACATGCATGGAGTACTAAATATAGACGAAAAAAAAATTAATTATACAGTTAGCCGAGAAATCGTGAGACGAATCTTTTAAGTCTAAATAGTCCATAATTGGACAATTTTTGCTAAATACAAACGAAGTGCTACAGTAGCCAAAAAAAAAAAAATAGAACTAAACGGGGCCTTACTTGTCTCACGAGTAACTGTAGAAACAGCCGAAGCCAACAGCAATGGCAGCCGATCATCAGCCCTGTTCGCTGGGTTGTATTTGATTTATAAGTCATGCCTTATTAGTCAACGAACAGCACCAAATCAGCTAACAGTACTTTCAGTCATGAACTCATGGCTTATAAGCCAAACAAACTCAAACAAATACGGCGTAGATATTCAGGGCCTGTTCGGCAGGACTAAAAATACTGTTCCAGCTGATTGTTGTGCGAGAAAAATACTGTTCTGGCAGAACGTGAACAATGATTCTGTGAGATAGCTGGCCAGCCGACAACCAGCCAGCCAGCCGAACACGCCCTCAGCAGCATGTTCATTTCGGCTGGATTGACTTATAAGTTATGGATAGAAAGTATTACTGGTTAATTTATGTGAGAAAAAAATACTATTAACTCCTGATAAGAAAGATACAGACAGGCTGCAGGTCTGTGCGTTTGCATGCAGCGAAGAGGAGATGGCAGCATGCGTCCCGAGCACACCGCAGAGCCATCAATTGACCAGACCTACACGGCCACACCAAATTGATGACAGCTCGACACTACAGGGCGATGTTGCGTTTTCGAATATGCTTGGCTGTGTTTAGTTCCGGAAATTTAAGAATTTGTTACGGTAGCATTTTCGTTTTTATTATTTAGTAATTAGTGTTCAATTATGAACTAATTAGATTTGAAACGTTCGTCTTACAATTTCCAATTAAACTGTGTAATTAGTTTTTTTTTCGTCTACATTTAATACTCCATGTACGTATCGTAGGATTCAATGTAATGACTACCGTAGCAATTTTTAGAAAAGTTTTTGAACTAAACAAGCACAAGATCATTCCGAGTGCTAGAAAACATATAAAACACCCTAGCGCTATTTAGCTTTTCTGTATCACAGGAGCAGCAAGCAGCCAACATCAGACTCTGAGCTCTGACCACTGACAAGTATACCACACCAGCGCGGCTGATAGAAATAAAAAAAAGGCAAAAAAAATTGTGAGCCCCACGGCAAGGCAAGAGTGGGTCTTGGTAAGTAGAGAGAGTTACAGGGACCCGTGCGAGCTAGGCGAGAAACTCGTCCCTAGCTATTCAATTTTTCATGTTCTCTTTCCTCCACGTAATTAAATAGCTAGCAAAAAGTTCCTTGTTGGGACGCCCTAACAGCGTCCATGGCCATGGCCATGGCCGCGGATGCTCCCCGGCCTCGTATCATGGTGCTGCCCTTCCCTGCCCAGGGTCATATCCTGCCGCTCATGGAGCTGTCCCACCGCCTCGTCGACCATGGCTTCGAGGTTGACTTCGTGAACACGGACTTCAACCACGCCCGCATCCTCACGGCCTTGGCGGCAGGAGGAGACACCGGAGCAGCTGTCCATGCCGGGATCCACTTGGCCACTTTCCCGGACGGCATGGGCCCCGACGGCGACCGCACAGACATCGTTCAGCTGGCTCAGGGCTTACCGGCGGCGATGCTCGGCCGCCTTGAAGAGCTGGTCAGAGCTCAGAAGACTCGGTGGGTGGTGGCTGATGTCTCCATGAGCTGGGCGCTGGACCTGGCCGGCACGGCGGGCGTGCGCGTCGCCTTGTTCTCGACCTTCTCGGCTGCCATCTTCGTGCTGAGGATGCGTGTTCCCAAGATGGTAGAGGATGGCATCATTGACGAAAGTGGTAAGAGCAAACCAAACCCGATTTCTTTGTCATCTGTACTCTTCAGATCAGAATATATTCATGCTGGACAAGGTGCTTCCGTGTGCAGCGGTTGTGAAGAGGAATGAGAGGATCAAGCTGAGCCCCAACACGCCAGCCATCGACGCCGCCGACCTCCACTGGGTTAGGGTTTGTAAACAGCAACGAGACACGAAGATTCATGATAAATGGCATAGCCAAGAGCAACCCAACATTCGCGCTCGCTGACACCATTGTCTGCAACACGTTCCATGCTATCGAGTCCGAGGCGCTGCTGGCCCTCCCCAAGGCGGCATTAGCCATCGGCCCCCTCGAGGCGCCGACGTCGAACTCAGCCAGCCAGCTCTGGCCCGAAGACACGGCCTGCCTCGCCTGGCTCGACGCCCAGGCCGCCGGATCAGTTGTCTATGTGGCATTCGGTAGCTTTACAGTCTTCGACACTGCAAGGCTCCAGGAGCTCGCCGACGGGCTGGCGCTCACCAAACGCCCGTTTCTGTGGGTGGTCCGGCCGAACTTTGCCAACGGCGTCGATGAAGGCTGGCTGGACCAGTTCAGACGCCGCGTTGGAGACAAGGGGCTAGTCGTCGGCTGGGCTCCCCAGCAGCGCGTGCTCTCGCACCCTTCGGTGGTATGCTTCATCTCCCACTGTGGATGGAACTCGACCATGCAAGGGGTGCGTCACGGCGTCCCGTGTCTGTGTTGGCCATACTTTGCCGACCACTTCATGAACCAGAACTACATTACTACATCTGCGACACGTGGGGCACGGGCTTGAGGATCTGTGCCGACGAGCGGGGCATCTTCACCAAGGAGGAGATCAGGGACATTGTCGACCAGCTGCTCGGTGATGATGGGATCAGAGCGAGGGCACTGTCTTTGAAGAGAGCAGCGTGCGAGAGTATCGCAGATGGAGGGTCCTCGCATCAGTATCTGCTCAAGTTTGTGAACCTGCTGAGAGAACAATAATCTTTAGCTTGTCAGATTTTTTTTAGTCATTCAAAGGTCATTTGGTTAGATAATCTGCAGAGTCGCATTCAAAGTTGGATAGACAGACATGGAGAAAAAGATCAGACGTCGGTGTTACTAGCAAATGCATTGTCACCTCATGGGCCACATACTGATGAAAGTGACACCTATATCTTAAGAAATTGCCTTTTGTATATATCAATCTGGAAAGTTTTTAAAACAATCTCTAGGTGTGCAAAGTGCCTATGGAAGTTGCAAAGTATAACGGATTACTAAATTAAGCAGAGGAATGCTGAATGCCTGCCGCCGAGCCACCAAAACTGAGCCAGCAGAGCGCTACAACTAGAAGTCGACCTTGGCAAATGTTCACCAGACTACCAGGAATGTTCATGATTCAGAGTCACTATCTCAAATAACTAATTATTATATTAGGTAAGGAATTACACAGCCGGATAGATGCAGGCTTACCTAAAATAATGGAGATGTTCCATGAGACCAGGCCATGGCATTGAAGTTATTTCCAAGACACAGTCTGACTGTTACTATTTCAGCAGAGTATGCAAATCAGCGTGACCTTTCTGCACAAGTAGATGAACACTAAACATCAAAACAAGAAAAAGTTTCCGAACCGAATGTAATAGGTTAACCATGATCGTGATTACCTTTTGGACATAATGGCGTTTCAGACATATGCTGGTTTGAACTTTGAAGTTATAGCCAATATCCAAGAAATAGCTGTTCTAAAAAAATTCTTATTTTTCAGATGTTGTCATGTCATCACCTTAGTTGGTGAAATTCCAAGGGAGAATTGTAATTTCCTTTATATGGAGGGCCAATATCTTTTATGCATATAATGGATAGGGACAACCAAAACTAGTAGAAGAGTTCAGCAGCAGGCATCTCAGCCACGTGCATATAAGCGAATATATGGCGGTTATTTTGCTTGCCCAGCAAGATAGACAAAACAAAGTGGTCAACTGTGGACTGAATGATTGTGAAGATAACCTTTTCTTCGGAAAAAGATAGACCTATATTCAGCAGGCTACAAATTTGCTGATATATGGTCTGATGTAACAACGATGATTTTGGCACCCTTTATATGCACACCCGATGGACCAATCTGGTTATACCCACCCACACCACAAACTGTTTGTAGCCACAACAGAAACAAGCTTCATGGTTTTTGCTGCTCCTAAACCTCATGTCATGGTGCTACCCTTCCCTGCACATGGTCATGTCATTCCACTCATGGAGTTGTCCGGCTAGTTGACTACGGATTCAAGATTGACTTCATAAACACCGAGTTCAACCACGATCGTATCTTCAAGTCCATGCAAAACAAAGGAGCAATCCCTGAGGGTTTACACATGCTCTCAATTCCAGATGGTATGGACCCTGATGATGATCACACAGACATTGGCAAGATGGTCGGGGGCTTATCGGCTGCCATTCTCAGCCCCCTTGAGGAGATGATCAGAAGCAAGAAGATAAAATGGGTGATAGCAGATGTGTCTATGAGCTGGGCGCTAGAACTGACCAACACAGTGGGAGTATGTATTGCTTTGTTCTCAACTTACTCAGCATCTGTGATTGCACTAAGGATAAAACTGCCCAAACTGATCGAGGATGGTGTTATTGATGAAAGCGGTAAGAAAGAATCAAATCATCTTTAGCATAAATTATTCCATACTGTCATGTTCCTCTTTAAATCCTATGTCTTAGTGACCAATGCAAGACCATTGAATTTAATGCAGGGAATGTGAAAGTGCGGGCCTGGTGCAAGCGGTAGAGTCTTACCGCCTGTGACCGGAAGGTCCCGGGTTCGAGTCGCGGTCTCCTCGCATTGCACAGGCGAGGGTAAGGCTTCCCACTGACACCCTTCCCCAAACCCCGCACAGAGCGGGAGCTCTCTGCACTGGGTACGCCAATGTGAAAGTGCATGAGATGATCCAACTGACGCCACCATTGATTCAACTGAGATCCCCTGGGTAAGCCTGGGCAGCACCCCAGAAAGACGCAGAGTGAACATACAGAAGGTCATTAGGACTAACCGATTGGTAGCGCTTGCTGAGGCTATCAACACATTCAGAGAAGTAGAACCTGAAGCGTTGTCTCTCCTCCCCGATGCATTACCCGTAGGTCCACTGGTAGTGCTGATGTCAAAGCCCACTGGTCATTTTTTGTCTGAAGACCTAACCTGCCTCACTTGGCTTGACACGCAAGCCCCAGGCTCTGTCATATACGTGGCATTTGGGAGCTCTACTGTCTTTGACGCGACAAGATTCCATGAACTCGCCAATGGACTTGTGTTATCTGGCTGGCCGTTCATATGGGTGGTTCGGCCAAACTTCACCAAAGAAATCGATGAGGATTGGTTCAACCAGTTCAAGCAAAGTGTCAATGGGAAGGGACTCATCGTTACTTGGGCTCCCCAGCAAAGGGTACTGTCACACCCTTCAGTCGCTTGCTTCATGACACACTGTGGATGGAACTCAACGATGGAAGCTGTGCTGCATGGTGTCCCATTCTTGTCCTAATTTGCCGACCAGTTCTGCAACCAGAGCTACGTGTGCAATGTGTGGAAAACAGGCCTGAAGCTTTGTTCCAATGAGCAAGGGATCGTCACAAGGGAGGAGATCAAGGAAAAGGTTGTGCAGCTGCTGAGAGATGAGGATATCAAGGCGAGGGCAGTTATGTGGAAGAACATGGCATATACAAGCATCAGAGAGGGAGGATCCTCTCATGCAAACTTGATCAGGCTTGTGAATTTGCTACGAGAAGGATGATGTTCCAGAATTTATACTCAGTTGCCACATACAGTTTAGTGCAATATTGCAGAGTATGGTTCTGTGATTAATCGTTTGCTATGTTATGTCAGTATCAGTATATCTATATATGTGTAACCCATCAAGCCCTTCTTTCAATAATTTGAGAGGAACCAGTCCAGTCCAATAAAATGCATTCATCCTGTGCATGCTATTGTATAGAAATTCCACAGTTTGTGGAGTTGTTGATATGTTCAATTAACACGGTAATAGCAATTCGTAAAAAAAATGACACAGAATGAACACCATGACAGGCATTGGGACATCAGGGTCATAAAGAATTCGTACAGTAAGATGCTAGTTACTGGAAGATTGTTTTTCTCCCAGAACGGGTTCGTCCCAAATTTCATTACCGAAGCAGCGAACTTACAAAATTGAACCAAGTTACCAAGTGCATTTGAACCAATAAAACAACTAGGAGTATTACAAACTACAAAGACCGCAACACACAGGGTTGCTCGACAAAGTTCACCGAAACTAGTTACTGAAAAAACAACTTGGTAAACTTCCATGTTCACGTCAAATCTCGAGATTAGTAATGCCGCAGCGCATGCTAGAGCCGTAGAGCGTACCTGTCTGCTCGCTGCCGGTGAACGAGAGGTGTTAGATGGAAAATGCCGAACCCCGATGACAGACACAGACAGGGGGCAGCGCCATCCCACACAGGTCACGGGTGACGAGATCCTTACCGTTCCGGCCACCGGCGTGCGGTCCGCGGCGGCGGCGGCGTGCTGACTCCATACTGTCTCGACTGCATCGGTGGTACACCGGCGCCGCTCCGCCGCACCCGCACCCCAAGTTGGACTCGGACCGTCGAGCGGGGATGGTTCGGTATCGGTTCGGCCCAGGGTATGAGAAGGAAGTTTGGGCCAGGTTGAGCTTCTATTAGATTTGGGGCTCTGTGCGGCCTGGTCAATGGTCATTTCTCGGTCAAATCAAATCATTGACGACGCTCCAATGAAAAGATGAAGCAGTCTGATGATCCCGCACATACTTCACGGACTCACGGAGCTTTGGAGGATGTCTCTGATGTTTGTTCTTCGATTTGAGACACTCGGCACTAACCAATTCCATTCGTGCTTAATCCCACCGAATCGAACAACTTGCTCTTTTAAGAAGAATCGCTGGATTGATCTATCCGGCGAACAGCAAGCAGTTCTCGATCCCACTACCCGTCCACCAGCACCGCATCCTGTACGTGCAAAACTCCAGCGCCATGCATGTGGCGGCGACCGCGGCGGAGCCATGGCTCCCGCCGGCACCGTCGGTCGGCCAGTTGGTGGCAACCCAGCCCAATGGGCGGACGGGGCAGAATGGCAGATGCGGTCGATCGGCACGACTAAAGAATTGGAAAGACGCGTCGAGCCAACACCCCGATCGGCGGCCAGCCCGGCGCCGGCGAAGCGCGCGCGCTCTTTGGTTGGTTCCGTGCTTGCTCCTCCTGCCCGGCTCGATTCCCCGTGTACGCAGGCTCGCATCGTGAGGTCCATCCAGCTCACCCGGCGTCGCGAGGCTACACGCCACGGAGGGCGCTCTCGTCGCCGTCGCCATTGCGCTCCCGTCAAAGGGTTCGGCCGTCGCGGACGTGACGTGATCGTGGTTTGGAGTTTTCAGGACGTGCCGATCGATGCGGTATAGTGCCGTGCCCGGATCGCCGGATCGGAGCCGCGGCTGCTGCGAGGCAGCTTCCGACGGTCAGCCTGCTCCAGCGTCAACCCGTGCGCTAGTTGCTGGCCCTGGGCTCTGAGGCTGCTGCTCAGTTCCTTTGCTTCTCATCTCAGCACATGCACAAAAACACGTTCGTTCAAATCAAGGCACGTACTACTACTGCTGTTCGTATTCACCTCATCTAATCATGCTGTGCACGTAGGTACACATGCTCGCCTAACTTTGTCGTTGCGACTTGCGAGGTCTGGTGCCCCGTGCCCGACAATTAGGCCCGTTTAGATGTAACCAAAAACTAAAATTTTTCAAGATTCTTCCTCACATCGAAGCCGACAGCACATGCATCTGAGTACTAAATATAGACGAAAAAAAATTAATTATCACAAGCCGAGAAAAATCGTGAGAACGAATCTTTTAAGTCTAAATAGTCCATAATTGGACAATTTTTGCTAAATACAAACGAAATTCTTCTGATGAATTGGCTTAAAAGCCAAAAAAAAAATAGAACTAAACGGGGCCTTACTTGTCTCACGAGTAACTAGTAGAAACAGCCGAAGCCAACAGCAATGGCAGCCGATCATCAGTTTGTTCATTTGGGTTGTATTTGATTTATAAGTCATGCGCTTATTAGTCAATCTAACGCAGAGCAAATCAATTAATGAGATTTTCGATACGTGAACTCGCATGGCTTATAAGCCAAACAAACTCAAACAAATCGACAGATATTCAGGGCGATGTTGGCAGGTTTAAAAATATGCTAAAATGATTCCGAGTGCGAGAAAAATATATAAAACGGCCTAGCGTGAACAATGCCTTGAGAGATTCTGGCACCGACATTATCTTGACCAGCCACCGAACACGCCCTCAGCAGCATGTTCATTTAATGGATTGACTTATAAGTTATGGATAGAAAGTATATACTAATTAAATTTATGTGAGAAAAAAATACTATTAACAATCCGAAAGAAAGATACAGACAGGCTGCAGGTCTGTGCGTTTGCATGCAGCGAAGAGGAGATGGCAGCATGCGTCTATTTAGCACCGCAGAGCCATCAATTGACCAGACCTACACCAACATCAGAAATTGATGACAGCTCGACACTACAGGGCGATGTTGCGTTTTCGAATATGCTTGGCTGTGTTTAGTTCCGGAAATTTAAGAATTTGTTATGGTAGCATTTTCGTTTTTATTATTTAGTAATGGGTGTTCAATTATGAACTAATTAGATTTGAAACGTTAAATCTTACAATTTCCAATTAAACTGTGTAATTAGTTTTTTTTTCATCTACATTTAATTATATAAATCGACGTATCGTAGGATTCAAATGTAATGACTACCGTAGCAATTTTTAAAAAAGTTTTTGAACTAAACAAGCACAAGATCATTCCGAGTGCTAGAAAACATATAAAACACCCTAGCGCGCTATTTAGCTTTTCTGTATCACAGGAGCAGCAAGCAGCCAACATCAGACTCTGAGCTCTGACCACTGACAAGTATACCACACCAGCGCGGCTGATTAAAAAAAAAAAGGCAAAAAAATTGTGAGCCCCACGGCAAGGCAAGAGTGGGTCTTGGTAAGTAGAGAGAGTTACAGGGACCCGTGCGAGCTAGGCGAGAAACTCGTCCCTAGCTATTCAATTTTTCATGTTCTCTTTCCTCCACGTAATTAAATAGCTAGCAAAAAGTTCCTTGTTGGGACGCCCTAACAGCGTCCATGGCCATGGCCATGGCCGCGGATGCTCCCCGGCCTCGTGTCATGGTGCTGCCCTTCCCTGCCCAGGGTCATATCATGCCGCTCATGGAGCTGTCCCACCGCCTTGTCGACCATGGCTTCGAGGTTGACTTCGTGAACACGGACTTCAACCACGCCCGCATCCTCACGGCCTTGGCGGCAGGAGGAGACACCGGAGCAGCTGTCCATGCCAGGATCCACTTGGCCACTTTCCCGGACGGCATGGGCCCCGACGGCGACCGCACAGACATCGTTCAGCTGGCTCAGGGCTTACCGGCGGCGATGCTCGGCCGCCTTGAAGAGCTGGTCAGAGCTCACAAGACTCGGTGGGCGGTGGCTGATGTCTCCATGAGCTGGGCGCTGGACCTGGCCGGCACGGCGGGCGTGCGCGTCGCCTTGTTCTCGACCTTCTCGGCTGCCATCTTCGTGCTGAGGATGCGTGTTCCCAAGATGGTAGAGGATGGCATCATTGACGAAAGTGGTAAGAGCAAACCAAACCCGATTTCTTTGTCATCTGTACTCTCCAGATCAGAATATATTCATGCTGGACAAGGTGCTTCCGTGTGCAGCGGTTGTGAAGAGGAATGAGAGGATCAAGCTGAGCCCCAACACGCCAGCCATCGACGCCGCCGACCTCCACTGGGTTAGGTTTGGAAACAGCAACGAGACACGAAGATTCATGATAAATGGCATAGCCAAGAGCAACCCAACATTCGCGCTCGCTGACACCATTGTCTGCAACACGTTCCATGCTATCGAGTCCGAGGCGCTGGCCCTCCCCAAGGCGGCATTAGCCATCGGCCCCCTCGAGGCGCCGACGTCGAACTCAGCCAGCCAGCTCTGGCCCGAAGACACGGCCTGCCTCGCCTGGCTCGACGCCCAGGCCGCCGGATCAGTTGTCTATGTGGCATTCGGTAGCTTTACAGTCTTCGACACTGCAAGGCTCCAGGAGCTCGCCGACGGGCTGGCGCTCACCAAACGCCCGTTTCTGTGGGTGGTCCGGCCGAACTTTGCCAACGGCGTCGATGAAGGCTGGCTGGACCAGTTCAGACGCCGCGTTGGAGACAAGGGGCTAGTCGTCGGCTGGGCTCCCCAGCAGCGCGTGCTCTCGCACCCTTCGGTGGTATGCTTCATCTCCCACTGTGGATGGAACTCGACCATGCAAGGGGTGCGTCACGGCGTCCCGTGTCTGTGTTGGCCATACTTTGCCGACCACTTCATGAACCAGAACTACATTACTACATCTGCGACACGTGGGGCACGGGCTTGAGGATCTGTGCCGACGAGCGGGGCATCTTCACCAAGGAGGAGATCAGGGACATTGTCGACCAGCTGCTCGGTGATGATGGGATCAGAGCGAGGGCACTGTCTTTGAAGAGAGCAGCGTGCGAGAGTATCGCAGATGGAGGGTCCTCGCATCAGTATCTGCTCAAGTTTGTGAACCTGCTGAGAGAACAATAACCTTTAGCTTGTCAGAATTGTTTTAGTCATTCAGAGGTCATTTGGTTAGATAAATATTGCCCGCAGAGTCGCATTCAAAGTTGGATAGACAGACATGGAGAAAAAGATCCGACGTCGGTGTTACTAGCAAATGCATTGTCACCTCATGGGCCACATACTGAAAGTGACACCTAGCTACGTCTTAAGATATTGCCTTTTGTATATATCAATCTGGAAAGTTTTTAAAACAGTCTCTAGTTGTGCAAAGTGCCTATGGAAGTTGCAAAGTATAACAGATTACTAAATTAAGCAGAGGAATGCTGAATGTCAGCTGCCGAGCCACTAAAACTTAGCCAGCAGAGCACTACAACTAGAAACAAGTGCAGAGTTCACCAGACTACCAGGAATGTTCCTGATTCAGAGTCACTATCTCAAATAACTAATTATTAGGTAAGGAATTACACAGACGAATAGAAGCAGGCTAACCAAAAAAATAATGGAGATGTCCCATGAGACAAGGCCATGGCATTGAAGTTATTTCCAAGACACAATCTGACTCTTACTATTTCAGTGGAGTATGCAAATCAGCGTGAGCTTTCTCCACAAGTAGATGAACACTAAACATCAAAAACAAGAAAAAGTTTCCAAACAGAATGTAATATGTTAACCATGATCGTGATTACCTTTTGGACATATTGGGGTTTCAGACATTTGAAGTTATAGCCAATATCCAAGAAATAGCTGTTCTAAAAATATTCTTATTTTTCAGATGAATTACCATGTCATCACGTTAGTTGGTGAAATTCCAAGGAAGAATTGTAATATCCTTTTTACAGAGGGCCAATATCTTTGAACCTATTGGAATCTAATGAAACATTTTATGCATATAATGGATAGGCACAACCAAACCTAGGAGAAGAGATCAACAGCAGGCATCTCAGCCACGTGCTTATAAGCGAATATATGGCGGTTATTTTGCTTGCCCAGCAAGATGAGAAAACAAAGTGGTCAACTATGGACTGAATGATTGTGAAGATAACCTTTTCTTTGGAAAAGGTAGACCTATATTTAGTAGGCTACAAATCTGCTGATGTATGGTCTGATGAAACAACCATGATTTTGGCACCCTTTATATGCACACCCGATGGACCAATCTGGTTATACCTGCCTACAAGGAGCAGCAAGCATTGATCCCACAAACTGTTTGTAGCCACAACAGAAACAACCTTCATGGCTTTTGCTGCTCCTAAACCTCATGTCCTGGTGCTACCCTTCCCTGCACAAGGTCATGTCATTCCACTCATGGAGTTGTCCCATAGGCTAGTTGACTACGGATTCAAGATTGACTTCATAAACACCGAGTTCAACCACGATCGTATCTTCAAGTCCATGCAAAACAAAGGAGCAATCCCAGAGGGTTTAAACATGCTCTCAATTCCAGATGGTATGGACCCTGATGATGATCACACAGACATTGGCAAGATGGTCGGGGGCTTATCGGCTGTCATGCTCAGCCCCCTTGAGGAGATGATCAGAAGCAAGAAGATAAAATGGGTGATAGCAGATGTGTCTATGAGCTGGGTGCTAGAACTAGCAAATACAGTGGGAGTACGTATTGCTTTGTTCTCAACTTACTCAGCATCTGTGTTTGCACTAAGGATGAAACTGCCCAAACTGATTGAGGATGGTATTATTGATGAAAGCGGTAAGAAATATTCAAATCATCTTTAGCATAGATAATTCCATACTGTCATGTTCCTCTTTACATCCTATGTCTTAGTGACCAATGTAAGACCATTGAATTTAATGCAGGGAATGTGAAAGTGCATGAGATGATCCAACTGACGCCACCCATTGATTCAACTGAGATCCCCTGGGTCAGCCTGGGCAGCACCCCAGAAAGACGCATAGTGAACATACAGAATGTCATTAGGACTAACCGATTGATAGCGCTTTCTGAGGCCATCATCTGCAACACATTCAGAGAAGTAGAACATGAAGCATTGCCTATCCTCACCAATCCATTACCCGTAGGTCCACTGGTAGTGCCGATGCCAAAGCCGACTGGTCATTTTTTGTCTGAAGACCAGACCTGCCTCACCTGGCTTGACACACAAGCCCCGGGCTCCGTCATATACGTGGCATTTGGGAGCTCTACTGTCTTTGACGCAGCAAGATTCCATGAACTCACCAATGGACTTGTGTTATCTGGCTGGCTGTTCATATGGGTGGTTCGGCCAAACTTCACCAAAGAAATCGATGAGGATTGGTTCAACCAATTCAAGCAAATTGTCAATGGGAAGGGACTGATTGTTACTTGGGCTCCCCAGCAAAGGGTATTGTCACACCCCTCAGTCGCTTGCTTCATGACACATTGTGGGTGGAACTCAACGATGGAAGCTGTGCTGCATGGTGTCCCGTTCTTGTGCTGCCCCTACTTTGCTGACCAGTTCTGCAACCAGAGCTACGTGTGCAATGTGTGGAAGACAGGCCTGAAGCTTTGTTCCAATGAGCAAGGCGTCGTCACAAGGGAGGAGATCAAGGAAAAGGTTGTGCAGCTGCTTAGAGATGAGGATATCAAGGCGAGGGCAGTTATGTGGAAGAACATGGCCTGTGCAAGCATCAGAGAGGGAGGATCCTCTCATGCGAACTTGCTCAGACTTGTGAATTTGCTACGAGAAGGATGATGTTCCACAATTTAGACTCAGTTTCCTCATACAGTTCAGTGCAATAATTCAGAGTTTGGTTCTGTGATTAATCGTTTGCTATGTCAGTATCTATATATATGTGTAACCCATAAAGCCCTTCTTTCAATAATTTGGAGGCAACCAGTCCAGTCCAATAAAATGCAGTCATCCTGTGCATGCTATTCATTATTCAATAGAAATTCCACAGGTTGTGGAGTTGTTGATATGTTTAATTAACATGGTAATAGCAATTCGTAAAAAAATGAAACAGAATGAACACCATGACAGGCATTGGGATATCAGTGATTCAGTGTCATAGCCAATTCGTACAATAAGCTCATTGTTTCAAAAATCCGTACAATAAGCTGCTAGTTACTGGAAGATTGATTTTCTCCCAGAACGGGTTAGTCCCAAATTTCATTACCGAAGCAACAAACTTACCAAACTGAATCTAAGTTACCAAGTGCATTTGAACCAATAAAACAACTTGGAGCCGTAGAGCGTACCTGTGTGCTCGGTGCCGGTGAACGAGAGGTGTTTGATGGAATGCCGATCCCCGATGACAGGGGGCAGCGCCATCCCACGCAGGTCACGGGTCACGAGATCCTCACCGTTCCGAGCACCGGCGTGCTGTCCGCGGCGGCGGCGTGCTGACTGCCCCCATCGGCCCATCCTGTCTCGACTGCATCGGTCGGTGGTCGGCGGATGATGCAGGTGGGTGGTGTTGGCCCCGTACGCCGGCCGGCGCCGCACCCCATAGTTCGACTCGGGCCGTCGAGCGGGGATGGTTCGATATGGATTGGGCCCAGGGTATGAGAAGGAAGTTTGGGCCAGGTTGGGCTTCTATTAGATTTGGGGCTCTGTGCGGCCTGGTCAATGGCCATTCCTCGGTCAAATACTTCAAATCAAACCATTGACGACGCTCCAATGAAAAGATGAAGCGGTCTGAATGTCTGATGATCTCGCGCATAGTTCACGGACTCACGGAGGACGGTTTGGAGGATGTCTCTGATGTTTGTTCTCTGATTCGAGACACTCGGCAGTCGGCGCTAAGCCGCTAACCAATCACTAGTACGTTGACACGCTTGCTAATCTGACCGAACCCAGCAGCAAGCAGTTCTCGATCCCTCTACCCGTCGTCCACCCACACCGCGCCCAGTACGTGCCAAACTACCAGCGCCATGCATGTGGCGGCGACCGCGGCGGAGCCATGCCGCCCGCCGGGCGGGGCAGGTGGAGATGCCCGCGCACCCTCGGTCGGCCAGTCGGTGGCAACCGGGTGCCCGGGGCGCGCAGATGCGGTCCATCGGCATTCGGCACGCGTAGAGAATTGGAAAGACGCGTCGTCGATCGGCAGCCAGCCCGGCGCCGGCGAAGCGCGCGCCGCACGTTGGAAAGTCAAAATCCTCGCGTGGGGGTGGGGGATGGATGAGGCGTTCTTGGGTTCGTTCCGTGCTCCTCCCTCCTGCCCGGCTCGATTCCCCGTGCACGCACGCGGCCGCGCGGTGGCCTCCCCTGGATGGCTGGACCGCATCGATAGGTCCATCGGCCAGCTCACCCGGCGTCCCTCGCGACGCTACACGCCACGCCCACGCAGGGCGCGCTCCCGTCAAAGGGGTCGGCCGTCTCGGACGTGACGTGATCGTGGGTTGGAGTGGTTTCAGGAGGTGCCTCCCGCCCGATGCGGTAGTGCCGTGCCCGGAGGCCGGAGCCCCGGACCCGATCGCCGAATCGGAACAGCGGCTGCGAGGCAGCTTCCGACGGCCAGCCTACGCGCTACGCGCTGCTCACTTCCTTTGCTTCACATCTCAGCACATGCACAAAACACACGTCCGTTCAGATCATGGTGCTACTGGACTGGTGTTAATATTCATCTCATCTAATCATGTCAGGTACACATGCTCGCCTAACTTTTTGTCGTTGCGAGGTCTGGTGCCCCGTTTCCGACAATTACTTGTTTCTTGGTACACCCATCCAGGTCATGTGATTCAGAAATCCCTTTTCAAACAGCAAATACTCAACTAATTTCGAAGACCTTGTATAATACTAGTAACGAGGAATTGGATACGCCGCGTGGTGCGGGTCCTTGAACAACATAGCAAGGAACAAGGGGGCGTTTAGTTCACCTGAATCGGCGGCGGCTGAAATGCAGCTACAGTAGCGTTTTGTTTTATTGAGTAATAATTGTCCAATCGTTGACTAATTAGGCTCAAAACGTTCGTCTCGCAAAGTACAACCAAATTATGCAATTAATTTTTGATTTCGTCAACATTTAATACTCCATGCATATTGCAAGTTTAATGTGACGGGAAATCTTCTTTTTACATAGTGCCAAAGTTGGAAGTTGGAAGTTGGGAGTGAACTAAACATGGCCTAAGACAAGTTTAGTGCGGTGCAGCTCTCTAGTCAGTGGAGGCCAACGACAGTTGAGAGAGTGGCAAGGTAGCCGTACCACGCGTTCCGTTCGGCGTCGGTGCAACAAACAAATTGCGTTCCGCTCCAGCGACTTCGACGTCTCCTTCGCTGTTGCAAACCTGCGGTCCAGCGGAGAAGGTAGGGCCCCCAAAAAATCAAAAAAAAGACCTGCCCTTTTGCAGCAAGTATGATGCTCCCCTTCCCTCTCCGCCGGGGGCCCGGGGGTAGGCGAGCTTTTCGCACAGCACGCTCCACATGTTCACTAGCAACCTGGTAACGTGCCCAAAGCGGGCACACGCCATGTTCGCCATCATAGGGGCCGGGGAAAAAGGGCCAGGAAAAGAAAAAACCAGAAGAGCGAGCAGCCTCGGCTGTCGGTTGATGCGTCATGCCATCCGTGTCCGCTCCACTGCTCCCTCCCCCTTGGCCTAACCGATTTGTGCGTTGGGCGAATGAGTCGACGACGCCCGCTCCTAACTCTGCCGAACCGGGCGTACCGGAGGCCGGCCAACGAGAAGACTTGCTGGATTCGCACGACAGCAGCCCGAACCTCCCGGCTGTTGACGCAGCGGCTCCGGCCGCGCGTCTCGGCTCCAGTCACGGCAGCCGGCAGGTCGTCGTCGTCTTCGGGTCCATTTTTAGGCAGGCTGCGGTTCGTTCTTGATGGGGGTGTGCACGCATTACCAAACATTCTGGTCCCAGGAGACTTCAGACTAGAATGTATTCAGAGTTTGGTGTAACGGTGTTTTCAGTTCAGCTCTGAAACGATGCGGGCTAGTAGCACTGTAGCAGCCGCGATCTTTTGCTACTGCTCCGATCCATCTGCACCGAGGGACATTCCCTCACAGTGGCACACATGGAGAATTGGAAATGGAGAGTCCTTTTGGTCCACTGGCACTTCAGCGCTTGACTTCCGATCTGTGGAATGCTTCTCTGTTTCGCAAGAAGCGTATGATTCGCGTGGGCTTCTCTGTTTCACCCTCTCTTTTTTTTCTTTCACGATGTGACCGTGCTTGTTTCGTCTGGTTCTGGGGATCGTTAGAGTTTGGTAGGAGGCGCCAATGCAAGGCGGAGGGACCTTTTACGTAGCCACGTGGTTAAACGTTACCACTGGATTCACAGGGCCAATGTAGCATCGTTAATTTACCACGCCTAGTTCAAATATGAACCGTGCCTTGACCTCAGTACGTACGAGTGGAAAAGGTAGTATATGTTATGCTTGGGGTATATAAAAAACATGAACTACGAGGGGCAAAACAGCCTCAAGCATTCAGAAGCAAAATTTTCTCACGTAGATCGAAAAAACCTCTAAACCCTTCATACACGGCGGTGCCGTTGTTCACATGAGACTGGACCAGTCCTTAGAACAGTGCTTTGGCACTCACATAGAATCAAAAAACCCCCGAACCCTTGTCTCACTCATCCATAGTGCACCATTGTTCATATGAGACTGGACAAGTCCTTAGACCTATGCTTTGGCGTATGACAAAGATGAGAAAATACTTTTAAAATGGCAATTCTTACGCATAAGAGGCGGGGAGTCGAACTCCCGACCGGTTGCTTCCCACAACAGGGTTCCAACCACCAAGCTGCTAGTTCGTTCGTGTGCTTGGGATATATGTCTTCTGATAACATACACACGGACGGATCCAGCGGTGGGGCGGGCGGGGCTCTAGCCCCCCGTATGGCCGCTAGATCTATGGAGCCCCCTTAGAAATTTTTACCATGGATATATCTTTAGGAGAGGCTGAAGCTGTTTGGAGGTTGAAAAGCGCCCTAGACATTTTTCTTGAATCTGTCCGTGGCATACATATAGTTCATCAAACGAGCACCAGGTGATGGAACACTCGATGAGCAATAGTTCTGAGGTCTTCATCATCATCCAAGCGACGTTACAAGAGGCTACTACATTACTTGGTGTTATCTTGAGGCATATAGGGAGGGAACTGAATGGAGTAGCCTATGAGCTCGCCTAGATGGCGAAGTGGTTGTACCATAGTGTTATATTTGTATAACTTAATTGTTGGCCAATGTGCATTGACCGCCTAGTTTGCTCGTGACTGTTTGAACATTTATAAAGGTCCCTCCTTAGTTTTTTTTTTCTTTTTTGAGAAAAGGTCCCTCCTTAGTTTAAAAAAAGCTTGTACTATCGCTTGAGTTAACTAGAACCTTTTGTCAAAGAAATGGGCCACATTTTTAGAATGTTTTGTGCAATTTGAGCAATACGTAGTTTACAAATACAGTTCGAGCATGTTTAGCAGAACTTTGTTTCCTCTCTAGTTTTGTCTCCTCTAGAGATATATCTTCTCTGATGGAGCTAAATCTCTTAAAAAAGGTGTTTGGTAAAATGGTTTCTTTTACATTTTTTCCCTAGAATAGATTGGAGATCTCAAATATGCATAGTACATCTACCTATTTTGACTTGTATTTTTAGAGTACAGTTCATCGAAACCCTAGCGCTCGAACACCCTTCTCTTTCCCATCCGCAAGAGAATCAGGACAAGCAATTACTAATTAGAGGCCCCAACGAAGACTCCACGTTAATTCTCACTAGAAGCGCTAAGAAAAAATATAAATTCTAGAAA